TTGTTCATCAGTTTATTTTGTTCTTTAGAATCCACATATGAGTGAGATCATGTGATACTTGTCTTTCTCTGACTGGCTTACTTCACTTAGCATAATACTCTCTAGGTCCCTCCAGACCTAGGGCAAGAGATCTTTTTTATAGCTGCATAGTATTCCATGGAGTAAAAGTCCCGCAGCTTTTTTATCCACTCATCTACTGATGGGCACTTGGGCTGTTTCCAGATCTTAGCTACTGTGAATTGTGCTGCTATGAACATAGGGGTGTCTGGGGTTTCTTAGGATATATTCCCAGAAGTGGGGTCACTGGGTCAAATGGCAGTTCCATATTTAATTTTTTGAGGAAACTCTATACTGTTTCCCACAGTGGCTGCAACTTTAGTTATTTTAGGAGCCAGAGCCCACACGTACCCCAATCATCCTGTTTCACAGCACACAGCAGCAATTTTCAACCTTGCTCATCTCACGGCTCACATAAACTAATTACTAAAATTCTGCGACAAACCAAAAATGATATTTTTTTGCCAATCTGACATAAAAATAGGTGTGATTTTGATTCGTTCACACCAGACGGCTATTGTTGTGTTGGCTGCTGTCATTTTTTTATTTGACAGCCTAAGGGAAAAGAGGTCAGTGCCCCTGACTAGTCAGGTATTGCATGTTTTAAAAATTCCTGCAGCACTGACCTACAGAGATGAATTGCTACAGTTTTATGTATAGCAATTTTTCTTCTTTTGAGCTTTGGTAGAAAAAAAGAATTCTGCCAAGAGACAGCAAAAATTTACGAAAAATCGTTATACAGTGTCAGGTTCAATCAGACACAAGTCAATGTGAATACACACGGATAAACCCTGAAATAGAAACACACCGTAATTTAACTGACAGACACTGAGACTCCGGGATGTTTCTCCTACGCTCAGCGCTGAACAAAGCAGGGGGTTGTAACCGAGTCAATAGCTATTTTAATCCCTTGTACAAAAGATAAAGAAGGGCAAACAACTAGACAGATCACTAGTCAGAAATATATATCCGTGAGTGGATGAGACAGACTTTACACAGTTTTCTCATTTCTTCCAAGCAGGCCCAGAATAAAATCCTAACCTACTGACTCACTCTTGAGAACACAGAGCTATCTGGTCTTCCAGCTCGGTGCCTGCTATAAAGCCTAGTGCCAAGGACAGAGCAGATGGTCACATGAGGGGACATTTCACCACCCACCCATAGCACACACAGTGGGGTGCAGAGTAGGTTCACCAGCCAACGCTGCCTATGCCAGTGGTGCCAGCAGGGCAGCAGTACCCGAGGAGAAGCAGCGCCTGCAGGGCCATCACCTCTCACTGGGCGGTGAGACCCTTGCATAACCCACATGCTGACCTAAACCCAACTCCTTGTCTGTGCCCATCGCAATCGCATCTCAGGGACTCATCAGCACCCAGAGCAGCCCCTCAGGCAGATGGGACTCCTGGAGATGTGTCTTTAGTATCACAGAAGCACACTATGGCGTGCTCGCTCCTCCCTCGTTTCAAGTATGTCACAGAGGAAAGTGGGCGCTGCTGGTGTTCCCTCCTGCTACCCAAGTCACCTCCCTGGCCCTAGCATGCGCCCTGTAGTCCTGGATCCGATCAGGCCTCAGCTTCCTTCCCAGGCAATTTTTCAGGAAGGCAGCTTTGTGGCTCTGCAGTTCTTCGCAGATTGAGAGGCACTGCCTGTGGCGAGGTCTCAAATGGCAGCCCTGGGTGAGTGTGTTAACAGACCCGGCTGGGTCAATTCAAAGATAGAGGGGAGGGGGCTGACCACGAAGAAAAATGACATTTTCCCCACATCACTGATACCCTATGGAAAGCTCATTGGTCAACCTTCTGGGTGCAGGGGGACCACAGGGCCAAACTACAAACTGCAATACAATTTTAAAGCTGAGTCTTGGTCAAAAATAACTCAGGTCCAGAATTCCTAATTCAGAATCACATTAGCATGGGAGAGAAGGCACTCATTCTAACACAGACCCGAGAACCAACGGCGGTACTAAGTACCTTAGCAGCATGAATGCAGAACGTAGGAAATCAACTAGGGAATGTCCAAAGAGCCTAAGTCAGTTTGTAAAATACCACTTGCGTTTCCTGAGCCTCTCCTACTTTTTCTTTGACCCTGTCCATCTCTTAATCATCCAGACCATCTTCTGGCTCAACAATAAACTCTGATCTCTTCGGTTTGGGTTGCTAGATCTTCCAGTGGCTTTATACAATTGGATAAATCAGCTGAGTCATTTTAGAACTCTACTTCAAGTGCACGGAGCCCGAAGAGTCAGAAAAGTGGGACCAGGCTCCAAGGACGTTCTCCTGAGAGAGGAGCTGCAGCCACTGCCACTTCTCCGTGGCCCTGGGCCAATCCTGAGGAGCAATTCAGTACAAAGACAGCACTGTCTCCAGAAGCAAACCTTTCTGCTCTCTAGGAGACAAGGGTGTACATTCTTCCCTAGTTGCAGGAAGCCCCCTCAGAGCCTTGAAACCGCCCAGCGAGGGTGCAGTCACCAGCAGAGGTCTGAGCAGGGGGTTATATGCGGATCTTTCTGGGATGCCCTGCTGGGTCTCTCTGCACAGCCTGACATGTGCTTCCTACTGTCAACAGCATTTACTCTTCAAAGAGCCTGCTGTTGCCAACTAGGGCAAGTCCCCAGCTCCAGCTGACCCTCACCCCGTGTGGGCCTCCTCCCATCCTGTCTGGGTGACTCTTCTACCCCTTACAGCTGGCACTTGCTGCCACTGACCCTGGGGCACTTTTCAGGCCACCAGCTCTGCACCTGTCCCACGCACACATAGGCGATTACTTTAGGAGGGCTGTGGATGCCGCCCAGGTAGTGCAGGCAGCCTGGCCCAGCCTCACTCACCATCTCCGAGTACACCGACAGTCCCCACCTCAAATCCCAGATGCCCGCAAGGCTTCTCCAGACCACGAAGAATGGGCCTGTCACAAGGTAGAGTGACAAGACAGTGCCACCGCCTGTGGGAACTGGAGGCAGATGAAAACAACGGGGCAGCCAGGGAATCTGTGAAAGGTGTTTCCGAGCAGCTGGGGCTCAAGATAGTCTCAGCTCAGTGTCCAATCCTAGACAGACTCATTTGCTCAACCAGTTTTTCTAGTGACGTCAATGCTGGCTTTCTTGGTTTCTGCAGCTTCTTAGTTTCAAAAGTAAAACCAAATAACAAAAACTCCAAATTTTTCAAACTGAACAAATAAATAATAGTAATAATATTTACATGAGTATATTACACTGAGATTCAGGCAGGACTCAGCAACAGAAAACCTGGGACCGTGCTCTGGACCCCTCATTCCTGGGCAGGTGTGACGCCCCTGGGAGCCAATGGGTAGACAGGTGAGGTGGGGATGAGCAAGGATGTGTGGCTGGGCCTCGTCACAAGGAGGGTGGGTGGCAGGTGTGAAGGAACCTTAGTTGTCCTGACCAAGCACTGTGGGGTGGTCAGGGTCACTGGATGAGCAGCTCCCGGGGGTACAGGGGGTCTGCCCTGGCTGCTGGCATGCTGGGGACATCAGGGCCTCTGTCCCAGGGAGCATGAAGTCGAGGCAGCTGCTGCTCTTGAGCCCCTTTCTAGATAGGACAAGGAGCCAAGGTCAGGAGTGGTCCCTCATCCCCAGACTATGTGACCAGGGGGATGTGGAATTCGGTTGTGTCGAAGATCAGGGGCCTCCTGGGAGGGCTCGGGTCCCTGTTGGCCTTGTGGAGCAGCTTGAAGAGCCCAGTTCCAATGTTCATGGGGATCCCCATGATGATGCACTCAGACACCCCTGAAACCAACCAGAAGGAGATTAGAGAGCTTCTAACACACACTGGGTTGTGAGCACAGAAAGACTGACAGAGGAGCCAGAAATAGGGATTCAAGTCCCAATTCTACTACACAGCAACTGGTTGAACCTGGGCTGGTCCCTTTGCTCCTCACCTATGACATGGGGATGGCTGTGAAGCACAGGCTGGCACCATGCTCCTAGATGGTGGAGAGACTTCTGACACTTGGGGGAAGGGCAGTGCCTACTCACAGCCTGGCTGCTGGCTAGAGACTGACGGCTCAGCGGTTCTCTCCGTCTGAGCCCAAGACACTCTGTAGCACTAACTTAGACAGCAAGACTGGTGAGTGATGCTCAGGGAATCCTGAGTTTGCCACCCAGTGTTTCCTTAACTCAGGGCCCAGAAAAGCAAACAGTAGGACAACGTCACCAGGTGATGAGCTCCCTGGAAAAAGCAAGGTGCTTGCTGTGATCAGGTGCCAGGGCTGGGCGAGGTTCAAATACAGTCCCAAGCCTTGGGAGACCTGCAGCCCTAACTGGAAACACTCAGGAGGCAGGGCTCCCTGTAGAGCGACAGAAATAAGGAGGTGGCGCAGATTCTTTCTCTGAGCTCCGTTTCAGCTTTATAAGATCCAAATCCTGGCCTCTGCACCAGGCTTCTGGCTCTAAAACAAGCAAGTGTGTCCTTATTACACTCTGGGTTTTGTGCTATTGGGAAACCAGAGAGGCAAACCACCAAACTAAAAGCCATGCCCAGCTGGTGTGGCTCAGTGGCTGAGTGTCGACCTATGAACCAGGAGGTCAAGATTTGATTCCCAGTCAGGGCACCTTTGCCGGAATCGAACCTGGGACCCTCCAGTCTGAGGGCTGACACTCTAACCTCTGCACCAAAACAGCTTGGGCTCCTATACCCCTTTTGAAGGAGGAAGAGTTCATCTTAGGTGTAGACTGACTGAGGCCCCACGTGACCATCACCTGTGAGCAAGTCCACACAAGAGTAGAAGGTGAGGTGGGAAATGGCCACTAGGAAGCAGAGCTCTGGAGGGGGGGACGGTGGCCAGGCCTAGAATCCCCATGTGGGCTTTTGGAAGCTACTGAGCCTCCTTCGACCAGCCCCTCACAAGCTCCCACCTCAGGCCTGCAGGGTCTTAGCAGGAGAAAGGCTAAAGTGGGCACTTGTAAAGGACTCAGAGCCAGGTGGGTAGCCGGCACCTCTGTGACAGTACCCCTCACTCTCCCAGGCTCCTGTCAGACGTGCTGTGTGGTCGGGGGTAAGGCCAGCGCAGGGGGAGACTCTGCAGTGGGACTCAATGGCAAGCAAGCTAGTTTCTTTCTTCTCATTTGTGCAAGGGTTTAATACCTACACCTCACAGAGGTGCTGAGACACAGGCATTTAAGGTGCCCAGCACAGGAGATCCACAAACGTAAAAGGCAGGCTGGCTGCCTTTGCTGGGGATCAGGGCAACAGGGATACCTGGCACAGGCCCCTCCTGCCAGCCAGCCTTGGCATCACAGAGGTTGCAGGAGCGGTATGGCTGACTCCGCGAGCTGGAAAAGTTCCCACACACCCAGGGTCAATCTCTTCTTCTTGGACTAAAAACTGTCCTGACAGAGCAGCCCTCTCGGAGGTGTGGGGGGATGCAGGATGCTACAGCCAGGCTTTGGATAAAAGATTGACTGGTTCCAACTCCATGACCTGTGACTTTATTCTTACGCAATAAAAGCTCTTCCTATTCAGTTTGTCCACCTCCCAGAAAGCCCCGGCCAGGGTCTACGTTGCCAACAACCCAGGCCTCTGGTGATGCTCTTAGATAGCAAACCTACCACACACGGAGTCCTTCTGCCCAAAGTAGGCGGCGTCAAAGAGGTGGTCAGCTGTCTTCTCAAAGGAGGCCAGCATCAGCACACTCTCCTTCATCTTGGCCAGGCCAAACCTAGTAATGCCCAGGACTTCACCCTGCGGCAGGGAGGAATGTGTCAGACTGGCATCCATGCCCCCATGAAAGCTCAAACCAACCACGTCCATGGCAGCTTCTCAACAGAATGAGCAAAAATCAGCCAAATACAGTGGTTGTTCAGGTCCCAACCTCAGGTGTGCACAGGATCCTAGCAGCTACTGTCCCACCTGTGTCTCAGTGAGGCTACTAGTCACTGACAACACGGCCTCCCAAGCAGTGGCCACTGGAACAGAGCATCAAGAACAGAGAACTAGAATTAAGAATCTAACTTTAGAAAAGGAAGTACTTCTCAAGATATTTGTCTCAAAGAGCTCAAAACTCAACTCAAAAACCTCAAAGCACCCTGGCTGGTTTGGCTCAATGGTTAAAGCCTCGCTCGGCCCGTGGACTGAAGGGTCCCGGGTTCGAGTCCAGACAAGGGCACATACCTCTGTTGCAGACTTGATCCCCAGGCCCGGTCAGGGCACGTGCAGGAGGCAACCAATCGATGTTTCTCTCTCTCTCCCTTCCACTCTCTCTGAAAAGCAATGGAAAAAATATCCTCGTGTGAGGAATAAAAAAAAAAAAATTCCCCACAAAAGGGTGTGCCCACTGTTTACTGCAACTGCAGTAACGCAATATGTGCACAGAGTAAGACTGAGGGGAGACTCAGAGGACAGCTGCTCCTTCAGGGCTGGGCTGGGCATCTCTCCCACCACTTTTCTAGACACTCTGCCGTCCAATACAGGTCTGAGTGGGAAGGGGCATGGAAACCTGCTGCCCTATAGCACTGCCAGAGGGAAGACATTTTGGGGAAAGGAAAATAAATATAACCAACCAACCTCAGTCCCCGCACAATCATGTTAACTTAATTCTTTTCCTGAAAGTGGCTACAGAAGTATGATAAATGGGTTTAACAGGGCTGAGCAACTCAGTTTGCCTGGAAATCCTTGGGCTTTTGGCAATGGCTGGCTTTGCTTTAGGATAAATTTTCAACTGAGAACAAAACCATTCTCCACCTCTAGCAGGAGGCTGCAATGTTCATGCTGGAATTTGACCAGAACACCAGCCTGACCACCAGGCTTCAGGTTTGGGGGGACGGTGGCATCTGATTTCCTCTCAGTGGCCACCACAGCCTCATTCTCCTGAGCCAGGGCCCCTCCGCGCACCTTGTAGGTCATGAGGTCGGAGAGCAGCATCACGTGCCTCCTGTCGATGCTCATGCCGTGGTTCACCATCGTGTACTGGATCTCGTTGATGATCGTTGTCCGGGCAGCCTCAATGCCCAGAGTTTTCTCCACCTACAAGGAGCCAGGGTGAGCGGGAGCAGCCACTTCTGGGTGCTACCCAACCCCTCCCATGTCCTCTCTGCCCTGCAGATTCACGGCAAGCCCCACGCCCTTTCCAGAAACAGCAAGGCCCGAGGAGTGTGCCAGGAGCCAGCTGGGCCTGGAGGGGGCTCCAAGGGAGACAGGATGACTGTAGGGGACCTGAGTGTGAGCAGTACCTCATACGTGTTATTGGAGGTGGTTCGGGTGCCCTTCACACCGTGAGTGGCCATGACTGCCCGCAGGTTATCACCCTCCACCAGGAGCTTGTACTTCTCCCTTCCACTCTGCTCGTCGATGTGGATGACAGCTCTGGACACCTCTGGGATGCCCTGCACCACCACCTGGACTCAGAGACACAGAAGGTTTGAGACCCTGCAGCGCCCATGGCCTCCACCAGCCTGGTAGCCTCAGGAACTGCAGCAGCAGTGCCAACGTGGACATTGAGCCCCGGGCTTGTTCCCGGGATCACCCCTGTTCCTCAGGGCTGGGTGTCGGTAACATAGCAACCCTAAAAGTGCCCGCCAACTGTGCTGGGGTCAGGGAGAAAGCATAGTCAGGGGACTGCGTCTCTGTCCACTGTCAGTTTTATGGGAGAAGAGAAGGGAATTTACAGACGGAGCTGGCACAACAGTGCTAAGAAAGAGAAAGAATGAATGAATTCCTTAGGAAGAAATGGGTGCCACCCTCAGTCTTGGTAGGGACAATCCTTAGGGTGCGCTGGCACCTAGAGAGTCATGTTAGAGGTAAATGTGGCCTCTCCTTTTACACAACCCCTGGCATTCGGCTGGGCAGGGCCCTGAAGGGTGACAGTCGCCTCACCTTGGGTAGATCCTCTTTTAGAAACTGCAGCACATAGTACATGGAGCTCTTGCTGTTTTCTCGGGGGGTGACACACACCACAGCCTCGCCGTGGACAGCCACGTCGCCCGGCTTTACACGCAGCTTAGACATGCAGATGGAATACCGCACTGTCTCTGCGTTCACCTGCAAGGGGTCCAGGCATGGGCCACAGGCCCAGGACATTAATGACAGAGGATTGGACACTCTGATTTCAGTTTCTCAGCCTCTTTCCTTCACTGCCCCTTCTAAGAAGCCTTTTCAGGCATTTTCCCCCTAATCTCTCTCCCCTCCACGGAATTTTAATACCAGAGATATATTGTGTACTTGTTTATGTACTGTATGCATATTTCTACTTTATTCATAAAAAGACCATAAAAAGTTTTTTTATAGTCCCTCCACACCCCCCAGTTCATAGCCACACGCATGGGCTCCAGGGGAGCCCGGAGGCTGGTGGCCAGGACAACTTAATTAGCGATGCCTCCCCTGTGCTGGCCTCACCACTGCTGCTCCTGTGCTATACTCCTGGATGCTGCACCACACTTCTGGTAAAAGGGCCGCAAGTCAGGTGGCCAGAGCCAGCCTAGAGACACCCCTACCCTAAGAACTGGCTGCTCAGTCTGGGCCATCTTTCCCATGGACAACACATGAGCCTGGCGTTCGAGAGAACAGGGTACAGAATGTGTAAAGACTAGTACAGATTTTAACTACCCGAGGGAAGAAGAAAGCGCCAGGAGTTTACTCAGTGTGCATCCTGCTTCAGTCCCTGAGAAAGGCCCCTACGTAAATGCCGAGACAATAAGCACGGCTCACCCGCCCACCCAAAACCAGTCACCAAGTAGCTAGGCGCTGCGCTGGTGCTGGGGCCGCGGATGTGTAAGACACAGGCAGCCCTACGGTCCTTCCAGACACTGGGAAGACGGACAAGGAGGCTAATTATTGTAATACTTTGTCACAGTGAATGAGTATGGTGGCCTGCACAAAATTTCAATTGATTTCCTGTGTGTCTTTATTTAAAAAAATTTTTTTAAAAAATTGATTTCAGAGAGAAGAAGGGAGAGAGAGAGAGAGAAATGTCAATGATGAGAGAGTCACTGATCGGCTACCTCCTGCACTCCCCCAGCTGGGGACTGAGCTCGAAACCAAGGCATGTGCCCTGACCAGGAATTGAACCGTGATCTTCCGGATCCTAGGTCGACGCTCAACCACTGAGCCACACCCGGCCGGGCTCCTGTGTGTCTTTAGATGGTAGTGTCTGTGTCAGGGTCAGGTGCAGAAAGACAGACTGTGAGGGTGCAATGGACTCACACAGAACAACCAAAGGCAAGCTTCTGCTATGCTTCCGGAGTCCTGCCTCGCTCCTGCCCTAGTCTATCAGCGCCTAGCTTGGGACTGACAGAGGATGACTTCCTCTCCACATTTAATTACATGACTCACTTCCAGTCTCAGAAGTCTAATCCGTTCCAGGGAGAGCTTGACGAGAATAAAGCAATCATCGGGAAGGAACACTTCTTCGATATACTCTGAAATCTGCAGTGTCAGAAAGTCAGAACGTTAGTCACTTTCCCTCTTCCCAAGAGCATTCACTGCTTGCTCTTTTCTTTAAAATTGATTTTAGAGAGACAGAGGAAGGGAAGGGGAGAGAGAAACATTGATTTGTTGTTCCACTTATTTATGCATTCATTGGTTACTTCTTGTAGGTGCTCTCCCTGGGGATCAAACCCGCAACCTTGGCGTATTGGGACAATGCCCTAACCAAGTGAGCTACCCGGCCAGGGCCTGCTGCCTCTTTTTAAGGATGTAGAATAGCGTGGACACACTGACTGGTATATCCAGTGCAGCGTGTTTTCTTACCTCCTTGCAACACTGCTAATCTAGTTTGCTTGTTATAAGAGGGATTGCGCCCTACCTCTCCCAAGAGGGTTTTCTCAATTCTCCCCTTCACGAGGCGGGCGTAATCAGCGTCGCCATCCTGGTCCAGCTGGGCTGTGATGATTGGAGTGCTGTGAGGAGCGAAGGAAAAACAATCTCAGCACTTGAAGGCCACTGCTTTGGTAGATCGAGTGCTGCTCAGAATCATGGTGTAAAAAGCAACGGCAATTCACTGAGTCTTCACTGTGTCAAGCACGCTCCTCTCAATGTTCTCATTTAGGTTTACTATTTTTGGAGTTCACGAGGCAAACGACTCTACCAAGGAATGAAATGACTTTCAGAAAATTCTTTCTGACCAAGTGACCCTACCTCTTCCTCTTTGGTCCTCATAAGTAGTTAATTTAGTTCTGTTCCCTGAGTACATTGGCCCTTTGTGTACTATAGCTTCCTCCATTCCTTGCCCCGCTCCAATTACCTGCTCTCCAGGACACCTCCAGCATCACCAACCACAAGCTTTCAGCTTCCAAGCTCACTGTGCTAGACAGTGTCCCCTGAACACTCACTCCTGGAATAGATATGACCAGCCTGGGGAAGGGAGGTGGAGCCCCTGCCACCCCAGATGTCTACGGTTGCTGCTCTAGAGCCAAGTGCAGCTTTTCTTAACTTAATGCTGTTTCTCAGTTTTTTAGATTCAGATCATAGATGAATCATTTTGTCATCAGATGCACTGTAATAAATTTCTATCTTTTCTAGTCTCAGGTCACCTACAAATTCTACCATGAAATCATGCGGGAGCCACAAAGCATGGCACAGCCCAAGTGGCAGACACATTAGTCAGGTCTGGTTAGGCTGGAAACATGACATCAAAAGTCTGAAATCGACATTGACATGCTGCTATCACTTTTCCAGTCTTTTTTTGTTTTTCTCTTTCATGTGACCTGTGGCCATAAAGAACCATTTTTCAATTTTGACTGTATCTAGTTTCAACTTATTTTTTCTCGAGTGTTTTTTTTTAAAACTAAAATATGATTACACATTATTATGCCAGTGAAGTTTGGGATACTGCCCATTTAAATAGCACATCTGACAAGAGAATCACTGTTCTGAAAAACGTGGCAGTATGGGAAGAGAAGGGAACTGGAGGCGGGCACCTGATGGCCTTGGAAGCATTAATGATCTCTTTGATCCGGGGCACACCCAGGGTGATGTTCATGGAGGCCACGCCCGCAAAGTGGAAAGTCTTCAGGGTCATCTGGGTGCCTGGTTCGCCGATGCTCTGGGCACAGAGTGCGCCTACTGCAGAACCAGGCTCCATCTGTGCCCTGGAAGGAAAAGATATGGATGAAAAGTCCAGCAAAACTGCTGGGGAGAGGTTCTGGTTGTCTTCTTTCAGCAGAGAAAGTGCAGATGCCTTTACGGTCAGGAAAGAATTGGAACTGAGCTAAGCTGTGCTCGTGACAGAGGAAGGACCTGGCACAGATCAGTTAACAGTTGCAAACAGGATGCTCAGAGGGTCCAATCATGAACGTAGTACTGTGTGGCTACTTGTGGTCCATGTGCAATGACTGGGCCCAAAGGTCTACTGCCTGAAGATGATATGAGAGCCTGCAAACTAACAAATGGTACTGAAGGTGGAGAGAGTGGGTGGCACCTGCCAAATACATTAGTAGTTTCTCTGTGGGGAGGAAACACTTGGATGCTTCTCTGCATTATTCCCACATCCTGGAGCATCCAATCTAACTACCCACCAGAATCCCGAGTAAGAGGGGGCAGAGCCTGCTCAATTAGTGGTGCTAGTGCTGAAGTTTGTCTCTGTGGGACAACAGGAAGGACATGAGACTGCCCCACAGTCTAAGACAATGAGTGTCCCTACCTCATGTACTTGTCCCTGCAGGTCTCCAGAAACTTTTCTATTTGGGTGGGGGTGATCCGGTCCAACTGGTACAGTACACGGGGCTGAAAGAACAAAACCAAGTGCAGAGTTAGGGCTGGCAGCGCTTGAAAATACCTTAGTGTCTGTCCTTCCCACCGTTGGGGAAGGCTCTTTACCTCTGTGGTGCCGTTATCATTGATGCCGTATTTGTCTCTGGTTTTCTTGATCTTCTCAGAAACCCCCTTAATGAATTTTTTTATTTCCTGAAAGATTATACAGCAAACATCAGTTGCATATTTCTAAGTAATTCAGATGACATGATGTATTTTATGAACTTCAGTAATATGACTAGCCAATCATATTTTCGTGACTGCTAAATATATACTATAAGGGATACAACATGGATAAAGTTTCTATTACAAAATGTTTTTTCCAAGGGGTATACCAAATCATCCACACCCTGGACACAACACTCATTGGTTCAGGTGTTTCTTAGGCCTTTTAACACCAATGATGCTTCAGCAATGGCCTGCACCAGCCACTCTCTAGCCCTGACAGGTTGCCCTTACACAGCACACAGGAGGGACACCAGGGAAGCCTTTATACCTGCCATTTCCTGTGCCTTCCTGGCACACACACTGCCTCTATCCACACAGCTCAGAACAGACAGACATACACCAGTTGTATTTTTAGTCTCTCGATGGATTAATTTTAGAATCCCATAAGTCACTATGATCAATTTAAATACAAGCTAACGCATAGCTTTGCAGACACTATACACATTTCAAACATGTGCTTTGAGCTTGCTTGCATTTCACAGGAAACGCTCCCACACTCAGCTTCTCCTCTCTGCCTCTCACACTGCATCACTTCCCCAGGCTCACACTCCCTTCCCACACACGCATGAGTTGGAAGGATTCCTGGAAATCACTCTCAAAGCTAGAAATGAAACATCAGTGTATTTGCTATTCCTGCGTATCTAAGAAAAGTACTCTAAAAGAAAAAAAAGGTAAAAAGCAAACAAACAACAACAACAAAGGCTGGAAAGAGCAGCACTCCAAGCCACAGGATGGCGACAGAATGGAGCAAGGAAGGCAAGAGGTGCATCGCGTTGGGGGTACATGGGGCAGGGCTAGAGACTAAAGACTTGCTGCAAAGTTTTCTGGCAGCTGCTTAAAGGGAAAATTTACAATCGACAGTGTGCTTGTCAAATGAACCCAGTCTCATGGTCACTCCCAGAACCAGGATCAGCCGGCACCTGCTCCCAGGAGTGCTTACAGAGCAGTGTGCTGTGCTTTAATGAACTGCCCCACCACAGTCCTACTCCCAGGTGGTCAGACTTGAAGCACGACAGGACTGACAGAGTACTTCTCACCATGTAGTACAGCAGTCCTTTAGAGGTCACTGGAACGCAGTCCTAGGGACCAGCAGCTGGCTGCTGTTCTGATCCAGGGGCGTTTTGAGAATATGGGGAGAGCAGGCAGACTGCACTTCCCCTCAGCAGCCCTCCAGAAGATACCCTTGAGGATTTCGGATAACCCCTAGTGAGTGAGCAGGAATGGTACTCTGTAGCCGTCCAGCTGCATGGGCAGACCAGTGAGCTGGCCCATGGGTGGACTGCAGATGGTGGTGGCTACAAAGCCTCATGAGGTCTTGATTCTGGATTCTGAGGCTGGCTGAGGGGCCCCCAAGGAGAATATCAGCATGCCCTGCCCCAAGTCTCCTGAGTTAATATCACAGAGCTGAAAATGCCTAAAGTTTTGTCTGAAACAAATGTTTTAAAAGGCAGATTGAACCAGAAGGTCCACTTTTGCAAAAAATAAATCCTATACGGTACCTATAGAACACTTAACACTTACTAATCCAATTATATGCTAATCCTGCAAAAATAATTCTCTTTAGCCTCCCATAGACTCCCTAGCAATTTCCGTCACTACCTTTTCTGAAAGTGAAATAGTCCATGGCTCATGGGCCTCCTCAGTCAGCCACTTCACAGCCCAGTGAGACATCTCTACAAGGTGGCACGGCATCAGCCCCATCACTGAGAGCAGAGGGCACCGAGGGCTGAAGGAGGTCAGGCGCCTGGATAAGACAACAGGCCCCTGCATGAAGTCAGGTGCTTTCTCCAAAGTCTGCTCTCAGGGCAGGGCTTTCTGCAATATCGTCTTTGCCCACAGCAAATTTCAGTCTGCAACCTAGGAGCCAGGTGACCACGAGGCTACCTGGGAGTCCATCACACGTTGGCTCTTCCTTGTTTATGAACACGGCCTTTTCATGGCCAACTTCCCTTCTCCTCATTGAGAGAGCGTGCAGATACATGGAGGGTTACTGTGTGCCATTCAGCCATCATTGAACACAGAAAGGACTTTTATTAATTTGTTTTCAAAGAGAAACTCTCCAGGCTTACTTACTAATTATGAGTTTTGAGATAGCATTTTCTGATAGTCAGTCATTGCAAACCAGAGAAGGAAACAAGAGCCAGATGGGAGAGGGCGGTGGAGCCATCCCTCCTGCTGTGCCTGCCTAAAGGGGAACATTCAAAGGCAGTAGTGCCCCTGCTGCTTCACGTTTCAGCTATTCAGTGTGAAGAGCCTCTTTCACTGTGCTGGTTTCCTCCTCAAGCCTGCTTGTCTAGCCATTGCTATATACTTTAGGGCAAGCTCCTGAAAGCCCTCCTGGTGCAGACACTGCCCTTCAATGGGTGTTAAAGGCTGA